GCTCAGGCTGGTTTCGAACTCCTGAGCTCAAACAATCCGCCCGCCTCGGCCTCCCAGAGAGCTAGGATTACAGGCGTGAGCCACTGCGCCCGGCCAAGAACTTTGTTGATTCCTATATCCTAGGCCTAGAATAGTGCATGATGAATAGAAGGTGTTCAATAAATATTTATGGGATGAATGACTACTTTGTGCCAAACTCTGTGCTAGGCTCAGTATGATCTCTATTGTTATCTCAATAACCCCTAGCAGACTCTCATGATGCCCTGTGTCAGATCTCAGCCTGCCTGATTTCTACGCAGCTGTGGTAGACAGTTCCACGCATCATTGCTAGCATGGCTCACCAGATGTGGCCCATCATCCCTCTTGGCTTTGCTGCCTTTGGTTTTCTCCCCAACAGCAGCTTTCTGTTCATGGGCAGGTGCAACTTAGAAGTGCTGGAGAGTTAACACCGCTGGGGTCACTCTCACACATGGGGAAAAGAGCCAGAGAGTAAATCCCTCAGTTTCTCTGTCCTTCAGTGGACAACTCTGGAGCATGTTCTACGTGGTTCCTCATGGATCCCCAGCAGGATCACGCCCCAGCTTCCCACAGAATTGGCCAGTTTTTAACACATTCATTCTTCCCTCCCTTCCCTGTTTTGCACTTTCTACTTCATCACATGTGCAACCCAGGATCACCTTCCAAAGAAACCACCTGTCCTAAGTCTTTATCTCAGGCTCTGCTTACAGGGTAACCCAAACTAAGATACTTAGGTTCTCTTATTTAATGTCACAATAATGTGTGAGGTAGGAGGTATTAGTTTCACTTTGTAGGTAAGGAAAGTAAGGCTTAGTGAGATTTAAGTGTCTGGCTCAAGATCACTAATCTAATAAATGGTAGATTTAGGTTTTAAATGCAGGCTTGTCTGAACTCAAATTTGTATGCTCTTTCCACTAAACCATGCTGGGTGACCTTGGGAAAACCACTTACTTGATTTTAGTGTCTTCGTTGGTAAAATGATGAGGTGGGATCCAACGTGGGTTTGCAGACTCAAATGGCCACAAGGCACAGCAAGGAAGTAAAGGCAGGCAGCTGGTCCCACAGGGGCTATGTCTGGCTGGAAGGCCAGGCCCTGCCCACAGTGGCCAGCTGCTTCTCCACCCCAGGCACAGAGCCTGTGCAGGAAGGCAGGCCCACTGCGCTGCGTCTTCCACCTGCAGACATCAGCCCCATGTGAAATCTCCCAAGTTTTTAATGGCGGCAACTAATTGAAATGTGTTTTAAACCCTCTGCAGGCTGGAAAGGGGCCCAAGGCAACTTTTTGGAATGGTGGAAATGTCCCCTATATATTGATTGGGATGTATACATTTGACAAAACTCAAAATGTACATTTAAAGTATTATGTAAGTTATATGTGGGGATAGAATCATAGAAAAAGAAAAAGAGCCCATGTGTGGTGATCAAAATATATTCTTTCAAGATTCTATGGTTGATCATGTGTAACAAGAGGCTGTGGGTGGATGGAACTTATTCCAGTGCATACCTGAGGTACAGTAAGGAAAAACCATCACAAAGTTTGCCAAAGGAAAATAACCTCCATGAGGACGTATATTCCACCCTAGCATTTTTCTTTCTTAGCTTCAGAATTATCTAGATGGCTGGGTTTCTCTTCGTTTTTAGGATACTGGAGAAAACAGTTGGAGCACATCTCTGCTCACCTCCGATCTTATGCTCAGAACAACCCTGAATTCCGGGCCTTAATTGCAGAACCCAGGATGGGTAAGGTGAGTGAGATGAAACTTCCACTCCAGAAGCATTCATGGGATCAGGCTGAAGGTACCCTCCGTGGACTTTGCCCGAAATTACATCTGCTTGACTCCTTCCCCTGCTTCCCACACTTGCTCTGCTTCCCACACTTGCTTACTCTTCTCTCATGTGAGCCCTGCCCTCATAACCCACTTGCACATGAGGGTTGTCTCAAGGTCTGCTTCTGGGGCACCTGACCTAAGACAGTAAGATTCTGAATATCTCATGCTTAGATGCCACATGCTGTGGGAAATCTGAGGGTCAGAGCTAAAAACTCAGAACAGTTTAGTCCAGCCAAATTGTGCACTTAAATCATACAGTGTTAAAATATAGCAAGAAAAGATAAATAAAAATTAAAAAATAAAATATTGCAATAGTAATCATAAGAATGACCATTTAACAGTACATTGAGTTTCAACATCGTGTTCATCATTCTAGTCCTCATAACAAACCTATGAGGGAGGAGTATTACCTTTGTGGCAGTTTTATTGAAAAATGGCCACAAATTCTTTGAAAGTCTTCCCTCAAACAGTAAAATCTGTGTCCCCTCACCTTGAATCTGGGTGGGGTTGTGACTGTTCAACTAATAAAGTATGGTGGAAGTGATGCTATGGGACTTCTAAGGCGTGGCCCAGTAAGGTCACGTGGCTTTCTCTTGCATGGCTAACTCACCTCCAGCACTCCCTGGAGTCCAGCTGCCATGCTGCGAGAAGTCCAAGCCACATCCAACCACCTCTAGCCATTGAATCTCCCCAGCCGAGGCCTCAGACATGTGGAACAAAGACAAGCTATCGCAGTTGTGCCCTTTCTGAATCCATGAACATAATAAAGTGGTGGTTGTTTAATGCCACTAAGTTTGGGGTGGGTTTTACACTGCAGTAGATAATCAGAACAAGCCTTATTTGACACCCAGGAAAATTGAGGCTCCAAGAAGTTTGGTGACCTGCCCAAGGTTATACTGCTGGGTCTCAGGGGATTCAGAGCTTAAAGCAGGTCTGTCAGACCCCAAGCCCCATGCCCTTTCTTTGGCACTAGATCACCATTTGAAAAGACATCTCTGTGAGAGCACCTTTCCTCTGTCACAAGACTAGAAGGAACCTTTTAAAATAGACTTTCTGCTCCTCTGCCACCAGATAGGCAAACATTGAAACTGTCTCATTCTCAAGTATTGCTCAATTTCTTTTGATAATCTATTTTGGTAGTTTATAAATTCTTTGACCTAATCTGGAGGTTTGCAAACTATGGCCTGTAGGACAAATCTGGCCTGCTGCTCATTTTTATAAGTAAAGTTTTATTGGATCACAGTTATACCCATTTATTTATTTGTAATCTGTGGCTGTTTGGTGCTACAACAGCAATGTTAAATTTCCATGATAGAGAACATACGGCCTTCAAGACCTAAAATTTTTATTATCTGACCCTTCCTGAAAACATTTGCTACTCCCTGGTTGAATCTAAATTCCTGTCACTACTTACAGAGAAAGCTGCTCAACTTTGATACTTGTCCCTTAATTGCCAAGGGCCTACCCCTACTCCCCACCAGAATACCTTTTCCAAAGTGACATCTAGTCATGTGGTTTGATTAAAGTGTGTCTCTTGAAGGAGGTATAAATTTGTATCTTGTTTTCTTATCCAGTCTGGCAGTCTCTGCCCTTTGATAAGAGTATTTAGTTTATTTATAATTAGTAGAAATAAAGATATATCTGGATTTGGGTCTGCCACTTTGTTCTTTGTTTTCCATTTATCTCATCTAGTTTTTGTTCCTCTGTTTCTCTTGTCCTACCTCCTTTTCTGTTAATTAAATATTTGATTAAATTCAGAGTTTAACATCTCAGAATTTCTAGGATATTGCTCAAGGCAAGGAGTCCCACCCCCACAGTTATGAATTCTTTCTAAAATTCTCTTAAAAGCTTCTCTCTGCTACTGTCCATGAAGATGGTTATGAAGTTAGCATCAGGCTGAATTATAATCAAGTCTCAAACAAGGTAAGCAAGCCTTCAGTAGTTATTCATTTGAGAATTGAATGAAGTAGTAAATTGTGGCTTACGAGTTATAGAAGTGCCTCTGTGTAATCCATAGGAAGGAAAAGTTTCAGATATTATGAAAGTTGACTATAGACTAGCAGTTTCATAGAAGTAGATAAATAATTGATCTAAACCTCAGAAAAGCCAGCTTTCAGGCACATAAGGATATAGTAAGAACAGGAATTGTCCTATAGTTCTCAGGCTTTATTCATACTCACTGAAGTCTGATGACATGTCTGTGATACAACTGATTTGGGGAAAGACTGACAAAAGTGTTTGCCAATATGCACTCTGACCTATTTCCTTTTATAAAATAAACCAAATTTTGTGGCCATGTTACTACCCCTGGTGACTGGGACATTGTCACAGAACCTGTAAGTATATAACAAACATTAATTGATTTTAGTGAATTTAGTTTCACTGGACAAGAAGTCAGAATATACAAAAGAATGTTTAATGGCTTAAGAAGTTGGGTAAGGAAGGCAGGGAAAAGGAGGGGAACTAATATTTATTAGGCTCTGGCTATATGTCTAGCAAGGTACTAATGGTGTTAGATTCAGGATAGAAACATGCGCCCTGCCTAACTCAAGGGGAGGATGGGAGTATCAAACAGGTTAATGCACGTGAAAGTGTTTGAAACCAGGGAAAACACTCAGTGCTGTGTTTTCAGCTGTGTGGCTAGACCACAGCATGGATCCGGAAGTACTTCAGGAGAAGAAGAGTGAGGGAAGTGGGTCAGGGCAGAGGAAGGAGCTGAATGAGCAGGTGATCAAAAGAAAAATCTAGCTGTAGCCTGATCCAGGGGGAGCTCTGGAGCATGAATCACACCACAAAGTTGTCCCCAGTTGAGGCCGGGAGGGCAGGGGGCATAACCTATAGGTCAAGGCAGCGCCCAGCTACTGAGGGCAGTTCACTGGGGAGGAGGGTCCAGTAGTGAGCTGTCAGCAGCTACACAGCAGCTAGATGAGTAACCTGGTTGGCTGGTGGGAACTGGGCAGGCTGACAACATCATCTACAACATGATGTCAATCAAGTAGAAGTAAAGTAATTGTCCCCAGGTTTGAGGACTCTTTTTTCTTAGCCTGCATGTTCTAGTGTTCAGGAAGCAGCAGGTGGTTCCCTGTGGCAAGAGCAGGCACCCACGTGAGGGTGGGGCAGGTTGTCCTCCTGTGGAATCGGGCCAGGTGCACATGGAACTCTATGTCTGCTGTGTATCTCTCCTCATTTTATAGACACCTGTTTTACCTCATTACTTGTACAACATCCCTTTGAGGGAGGTCATAATCCTTCCATGTTACAGGTGAGGAAACTGAGGCTCAGAGAAGTTAAGCAACTTGCTTCTCCCAAGGTCACAAAGCTAGTAAGTTGAAGACCCAGGATTCACACTCTGCAGCCTGAGGCCTCCCCATCATGCCACCCTGATCCCAAGACACTGAAAGGGGTTAAGCAGGGGAATGACACAATTACTTCTAAATGGTATATAGGTCACTGGGGCAGCCCCATGGCAGGGAGGCTGGCAGATACCTGTTGGGAGGCTGTTGAGATGGTCCCAGTGTGAGAAAAGGAGGCCATGGCAGTAGTGAGGGTGGCAAGAGGGTCCAGACTGAGCTGCTGATTAATCGGTAGGTAAAGCTCCTGTGGGGTGAGGGAAGAGTCAGGAAGGATGTCCAGGTGTCGGGCTCAACCGTCTGGGTAGGTAGACCAGTCTTTAGTAAGGAGGAGCAGGTTAGCAGGGAGATCCTTCTTTTTGTTGTGACAAAACAGCCTCATCATTTATCGTGCTTGAATTTTTTCACCGGCCAGAACCTTTACCTGAACAAGGCAGAGAATTTCAGTGACTACTTCCTGAGCAGTGCCCTCGAGGATGGTCATGGGCTATATGGCAGAAGGTCCAGCTGGGGTGAGTTCGTCACTTCCAGGTGATGTTAGAACAATTTACCAGGAACACATTGACTTATCAAGGATGGCAGAGAATTGCTAAAAATTTGCCAGCCCAATCATGCATCTTACCATTATGTTCCAGCCATTTTATTTCTCTGGCTTCTCTGAAGTCAGGGGTGAGACTTTTGAAGTCCTGTACAGGGCTTAGGGAGATTCATTTTGGGCATAGTGCACTTTTGGGCCTAAAACCTGAAGTCCTTTCTAGTCCCTTCTGTCCCATCCATCCTGTGGTTCCTGGACAGGGAGATGGCTCCAGGAGACCCTCCTTCCAGATTTACTCAAATAGAAGTTTCTAGAAAAGCCATTTTGTTATCTGACTCTAGAGGGACATGGCAGTAGAAGTGGCTCTTTCTATGTGGGGAGTGGAGGAGGGACATCATCTCAATCCTCAACTCTGTCATTTCAGCAAGTGACTACATCCAGTGTACCTCAGAAACCCCTGAAAAAGTCATGAGGGCAAGGAGTTTCAAGACCAAAAACTTTCAAGAAAAGAAGGAGCAGTTTATAGTAAGTGTCCTCCTTGGTCCCTGTGGTTATCTTCATCAGCCTATCATTTTCATGTTTTATTTTGACTTTTTTTTAAATGGAAGAATAATCTCCCATTTTCTGTTCCTTTTTTTAATAACAGCACATTTTTATTTTATGGAGGCAAAATTCTTTAAAATATCTCAAGATTATGAATTAGAATTATTTTAAAGTTCCCATCAGTTTCCTAAATCATCTCCGTTTCCTCTGGTATCGGTTCTATCTGCCTGTATTTCTCTTTCTTGTTTTTGGTTTGCCTCAAATACACTATGATCCTTGGTTGTTGGGTCATTCAACAAATGAAGGCCTAGTTGGATTAGCACAGGTGCCTGGCATGGCTGCCAAACATGGGTATGTGGGCCCGAAGTCCCTGTGTAAGTGGATAGGCATGTGATGGGACAGATGTCCCTGGAGGGAGTGTGGGCAGGGAGCAGGGGAGAGCCTTCAGCTCTCCAGTGTTGCCAGTGTAGAAGGTCTTTCCTTTGATGGTGATGGTATTGGTGGTGTGAAGTGCTTGCTTGTGTTTCAGTTTTGGTTGGAGCAGTCTTTCCTTCCTTGCACACCACAACCTCTTCTGTGTGTTGTGGAGGTTTGGGCTCTGCCCATCTTCCTTATTGGGCCCCAGTGCTCTCAGTAGAAGTCTTTGTTGGGCAAATTATTCATTTTCTGGAAAACAGTTATCAGGGTTTAAGCCAAGAGCACAAGCCTCCTGCCCTTCTTACTTGGGAGAGACGTGGAAGGCCACCAGCTGTCTCAGCTATTCACAGTGGAGCCCTTAGTAATCCACTGGTGCTTCTGCCTACACCCAACACCTAACCTCCTAATTGATTACCTGGAGCATCTGCAGGCCTCCCCTGGAAAGAAGAACATACCTCTGGCGTCTCAGCTGGGTTTTCTTTGCTTTGATTTCCCTGTCAGTCAGATTTCATTTAATTTCAATCTTCTTGGACTTTCTCAAAATTACCCTTTTAGGGTTTCTCACAGCTTTTAGAGTTTGGTTTTTTTGTTTTGAGACAGGGTCTCACTCTGTTACCTAGGTTGGAGTGTAGTGACTGGATCATAGCTCGCTGCAACTTCAAACTTCTGGGCTCAAGTGAACCTTCCACTTCAGCATCCCAAGTAGCTGGGACTACCAGTGTGCACCACCACACCCAGCTAAGTCTTTTATTTTTTTGTAGAGATGAGGTCTCGCTATGTTGCCCAGGCTGATCTCAAACTTCTGGCTTCAAGTGGTCTTCCCACCGGGGCCTCCCAAAGTGCTGAGATTACAGGTGTCAGCCACCATGCCAGCCAGAGTTTTGTTTTTCAAAAACATATGCCATGAATAATTCCAAAGGGAGCTTTGGAGAAAGGGGCAGTGGATGCCCTTGCTCTGTCCCCCACCTTGCCTTTAGTTGGTCCTCTTTGGCTGCAGTACAGAGACATGATGTGGAGCAAACCTCAAGACCTGGGCCCCAGTCCAGAGCTGGACACGGGCATGATGTCAGGTGCTTCCCTCCACCTTGATCTCCACCACCAGGCTGTGGAGGCATCCATCCTCAGCGGTGCATGCACCATTGCGCAGCTTGCACCCTGATTCCTCTGAAGGCAGGGACTCTGTTCTTTATCTTGTTTTCCCTACCACATGCTTTGCATATAAGAAACACCAATAAATTTGGGAAAAAGATTTTAAAATTGTTTTAACTTTTGTTGCTTATGATTTCCTATACTCTCCACCTTCTCCCAGTTTGAAATATTTTTAATGAGTATAAAAGAAGTATAGAGTTCCATAAACTTAACAATTCACAATTTTGGAGACTCTACCCACTTACTCTGTGTGTGACCTGAATCTCCCATTGCTATATGCCTTTATTTTCTCATTTGCATTTAGTGGATAAGTATCAGAAGCTATAACATTTGTTTGCTTATTCAGTGATTATTTTTGAGCACACATATTAATATACTAGGCACTGTTTAAATAAAATATGAGCAACAGACATAAAGGTCTCAGATCTCATGAAGCTTACATTCTAGTGCACTGTAATACATTTTTTCATAAGGAATAGAATTCAGTATGAACAAGCGCTCCCCAAGACCCCTCCTGGGGGGTTAGAGATTAGAGTACATTGTTCTAAGCTATGCACCAGCAAGGTGGGGGCAGTGAGGTAAGAGGTGGCACAAGGCTGGACCAGATATCTTCTTTTGAAAGGCTTAAGGGCCTTGACCAGTGTCCTCATCCTCATGGCTTCCCTGGGGGCCAGGGAGGGGTGGGTGTTATTTCCACTTTACAAACGGAACTAGTGGTCCCATGACCACCACAGTCATGCCGGGGATGCAGGAGCAAGAACATCCTGAAAGTATGTCTCCTGCCTAGATGGCTTCCTTCAGCCTTCCGGTTTTTTAAATCCTTTATAAATCCTTTATATATAAAGAATGATTATATGAAGATGAATTTCATGGCATTTAAGAAATATAAAAAGATAAATTCTTCAGATTTCTGATGGTAAATGAGAGCTTTTTTTTTTTTCCTAAACAAGAGGTCAACTTTATTGGCTCACTCACTCCTTAGGTGAGCATACTTTCTGAGCTATTGTGCTTAGGTTGACCTTGAATGCTTTATAAAGCATGCAAAGTAAATTTTAGGATTCACCTGATTGCTCTTCCTAGAAATAGTTAACAATAAAGCTAGTGTAGAGTTTCTGCAGTTTTGTGAGATTTTTCATTGCGTCTCTGTCTTAATATAAAACAATGTCTGTGTGGTGACCTTGCCCAAAGCAAGGTTTCGGGAACCAGCAGGATTGACATTAGATGTGGATGTTTGTGCTGTAGGCTCTTGAAGCCCACACACACACACTCACACACACTCACACACACTCACAGTCACCTGTCCCCAGGACCCAGAATTCAACCTTGGAGAGGAAGTGTTTGCCTTGAGCATTGAGCCTGGGTCTTGATAGTAAAACTATTTTGAGACAGTGGGAATGACCACATTCTGTAATCCCACAGCCTGAAAACAGACTCCTGCTGAAGGAAGTCGGACCAACAGGGGAAGGAAGAGTCTCTGTGATTGAACAGCTGCTAGATGAAGTAAGTGTGACCAAAAGAACAAGTCGCTGAAGAGTTCAGCCTGGCATTCCACCTCTAGCTCTTTAGGATGGAAGTTTTGTTCAACACTATGGAAATTCTACTACCCTTTAATGAAAAACTGGGAATGGAGTAAATGGCTAGTGAAAAGCTTTATGTTAATTCTTACCTGTTAATTTTATAGCAAAGAAAATAGGCAGACAAGCACACCCAAGGAACTCAAGGAACGTGCATGAAGCAGGACAGAATCCATGGCCCGTGACACCATGCAACCTTCAGCTTGAGTTTCCTCAAGAAGCAGGGTCGTCAGGGTGGCTGCCTCCCCCGCTGTGGGATGATTCAAAGCTCTGTCCATTCTAGGTTGGATCTTGAGGTTCCTGAGTCTCCTCTTCTTTGATCTAAGAGCAGTTTACTTCCATCAGCTCTTTAATAGGACTCTGGTTACACTCAGTAGGATGGCTGTTGGATGCTGTCGAGTGCAGGGTTTTGTGGTAAGTTTGTCCTTTTCCATATGCTGCAGGGAGCAGACCCCAACTGCTGTGATAAGGAAGATCGACCCGTGATAACTGTGGCTGTTGTGAATAAGCACCATGCAGCGATTCCAGTTCTCGTGCAGAGAGGAGCAGACATTGACCAGCAATGGGGACCGTAAGTGAGAGGCTTGGAGAGGGAGCTGAGGCAGGCCCTGCTGCAGAGTCAACCCATACACACGGCCTTGTTTGGTTTAAACCACTTACAAGCTGAGCCGCTTAAACGTGTTTCAGCCTTACTTAATAAGAGGCCTAACAACTTCTGTTTTCCAACACTGGGTAAAACAAAATTTAAAAAATGAGTTATTAGGTTGCCTAATTTAGTAGCTTTTATAAATACATTTTGTTAACTCACAGATTTATAATGGCTGAGGCCAGCAAATCCTTAGCCCTTGGAGTGTTTAGCAATGTTGTAATCATGATCAGCACTAAGGGAAGAGAGATCCCAGTGAATTCCCTGTAGAAATATACCCATGAAGTCAGTGCAGCAAGAAAACATTACACGGTTGTCTCCAGATACCAATGCCACCAGGGAGGAGGCTGGTGCATCAGACTTCACCACTTGATCTCTTGGTGGCTTGTTTTCCCACCTGTGAAACAGGACGGAGAGGTACCAAGTCATGCTACTTCCTGTGCCTGTCTTAGTCCAGTCCTGCCCCATGACCTTCTCTCCTAGCCTTAAGATTCTATGGTTCTCTTACAAATTACTTTGAAAACCTGGGTGGAAAGTTCCTTGAGTATGGATCATTCATTTTTTTTTTTTTTTTTTTT